GACTTTCCAAGTTTATTTTGACCTCCAGATTTCAAAGGTTTCATTTTTAGTTTAAACCCTTGAAAACCAAAAAAATGACAAGGAATTGTGTAGAGCAGATAGGTTCAAATAAATAGTTAGCCTCCTATTCCCTACATTCTTGGCCTGCCACATAACATCTGCCAGCTACACAGCATCTACCAGCCACACTACATCTGCCTGCTACATAACATCTGCCTTCTACATAACATCTGCCTCCTACATAACATCTGCCTTCTACATAACATCTGCCTGCTACATAAAATCTGCCAGCTACATAACATCTGCCTGCTACATAACATCTGCCTGCTACATAACATCTGCCTTCTACATAACATCTGCCTGCTACATAACATCTGCCTTCTACATAACATCTGCCTGCTACATAACATCTGCCAGCTACACAAAATAAATGTGCCTTCTTCACAACACACATTCTACACATCTGCCTGCCACATAACATCTGCCTGCTACATAACATCTGCTTGCTACACAAAATCTGCCTTCTTCGCAACATCTGCCTTCTACACAACACCTACCTTCAACACAACATCTGCCTTCTACATAACACCTACCTTCAACACAACATCTGCCTTCTACATAACACCTACCTTCAACACAACATCTGCCTGCTACATAACACCTACCTTCAACACAACATCGGCCTGCTACATAACACCTACCTTCAACACAACATCGGCCTGCTACATAACACCTACCTTCAACACAACATCGGCCTGCTACATAACACCTACCTTCAACACAACATCGGCCTGCTACATAACACCTACCTTCAACACAACATCGGCCTGCTACATAACAACGACCTTCAACATAACATCTGCCTTCTACATAACACCTACCTTCAACACAACATCTGCCTGCTACATAACACCTACCTTCAACACAACATCTGCCTGCTACATAACACCTACCTTCAACACAACATCTGCCTGCTACATAACACCTACCTTCAACACAACATCGGCCTGCTACATAACACCTACCTTCAACACAACATCTGCCTGCTACATAACACCTACCTTCAACACAACATCGGCCTGCTACATAACACCTACCTTCAACACAACATCGGCCTGCTACATAACACCTACCTTCAACACAACATCGGCCTGCTACATAACACCTACCTTCAACACAACATCGGCCTGCTACATAACAACGACCTTCAACATAACATCTGCCTTCTACATAACACCTACCTTCAACACAACATCTGCCTGCTACATAACACCTACCTTCAACACAACATCTGCCTGCTACATAACACCTACCTTCAACACAACATCTGCCTGCTACATAACACCTACCTTCAACACAACATCGGCCTGCTACATAACACCTACCTTCAACACAACATCTGCTACATAACACCTACCTTCAACACAACATCTGCTACATAACACCTACCTTCAACACAACATCGGCCTGCTACATAACACCTACCTTCAACACAACATCGGCCTGCTACATAACACCTACCTTCAACACAACATCTTCCTGCTACATAACACCTACCTTCAACACAACATCTACCTGCTACATAACACCTACCTTCAACACAACATCTGCTACATAACACCTACCTTCAACACAACATCTGCCTTCTACATAACATCTGCTACATAACATCTGCTACACAACATCTGCTACATAACACCTACCTTCAACACAACATCTGCTACATAACACCTACCTTCAACACAACATCTGCTACACAACATCTGCTACACAACATCTGCTACATAACATCTGCTAAGTTTGAAACCTTTTTTTTTTTTCATTTACAGCCTTTAAGCGCTTGTGATTTGTTGTGCAAATAAAATATTTCACATAAAAATTCAACTGTGTTCACATAATTGTTCTTGGAACAAAAATCCTGATATTCCTGGCAGTTGTTTTACACTCAACTTTGAATTTTTTTAAATTAAGGGACATGTGTGCAAAGTTGTTAAATTTAAATTAGGAGGCTTGAATAACATTTATCAAAAAATAGCTGGTGAACTGAGGTAACTAAAAGCTTTTTGCCCGTTATGACAACATCATGATTATAGAACATAATATTAGCAGGCATTTGATTGGAGAGTGGACTGGATTGTTTGGTTAATTTGGTTCTCACGTCCACTAAGGCAGCCACTAAATTGGCCCAAATCTCTGGTCCCACTGTTACCCAGCTGTTCAGAAGCCAGTCAAATGAGTGGATAATGAGGACTGATTTCATGAGTACATCATTTGTGATTATGCAATTAGTGAGAGCATGATTATACAACATTGGATAAAGTTACTTAAAATTAATCTATACACAGATAACTGATTAAGGAGCAGGCTAGCTCAATTAAAAGAGTATTTGGTTAATAAAAAAATGAAACATGATTGCTTTTACTATAATCAGCTAACGGAGAAAACAATATGTTAGATAATTTTTAATGTTTCTTTTTTTTTTTCCCCCTTTATTTAACATCACTGTTTTATATCTGTCACGGAATACCTCTACAGAGAGAAGCACATCAACAATGGGGAAGGCTCAGTAAATATCTAGACCACAAGCATGACTTTTAGTTTTATATAAAGTTTACAGCTTAACTTAATGTGACCTACATGTTTTGTTTTGATTTACTGTCTGCCTTTATATATGGCATACATTGGGGGAATACTATCACAATGACTGGCCATACTGTGTTGGCTGTCTGCATGTAGGCCTACATTTTCCCATGCCCTGCCACTATATATGTTCACCAATGTGTTCCTCTACCTCTCAGATGTGGATGTCCCCAACCCAGATGAGAAATCGGTCATCACATATGTGTCATCTCTGTATGATGTGTTCCCAGAGGTGCCCAGTGTGGAACAGTCACTCAAGGACAATGTAAGTTTAGGAAAACCTTTTCATGACCATCTCAGCCTTTGCATGCTCCTAATACTGACTATTTGCCATAAAAGCTAACTCTTAACAGCTAGTGTCACTTGATCAACATTTTTCAAATCAAGGTCCCTTTTATTCGTCTTGTGGAGCTTACCAGTAATGCTATATACATTTGAGTTGGATCTTGTTAAACAGAAGTCTCATGTAAATAATCCAGTATTACTTTTTCTGTTTGAAAAATAAGCTTAAACTTTTAGTCATTTTTTAAAAATATTCTTGAAACCTTTGGTACATTTTGCTTATAAAATTTGGTTTTCTGAACTTCTGATCTGTCTTACAGGAGCGACAGCTCAAGATTGAGGAATACAAAGAACTTACCTCCTCTCTCCTCACTTGGCTTAGAGATGCCATTAAACTTATGCTCAGCAGGAACTACCCAACTACATTGCAGGAAATCAAGGTATGCCAGTCAAGGGTTCTCATTATTTGCACATTTTAGGAGACAAGCATTTGCTTGATTATCAGCATTTTAAAGATTATATTAGACTATGTGTCCGTAAATTATGTATGTATTAGTTTAGTAGTTCAATACAGGCGCATTTTAGTTTAAGTAACTACAGTGTAATGTATGTTTTCTCTCTTAGGCTCTCCACTCTGATTTCAACCGATTCCGTTCAGAGGATGTTCCCCCACGGTTAGAGATCAGGAATAGGGCCATGAGGCTTTTTGATGAAATACAGGTAAGTGGTGGTCTAAATGTATGACACATGGTACTGTGGACCTGGTGTTGTGAGCACACGGATCATACCTTGTACAGCAGTCCTCTTATTGTGAGCAAATGGACCACAACTATTTGAAACGATTTATTAGGAACAGCTTCAATGTTGATAATAGTACAGTGGTGATAATAGTACAGTGGTGATAATAGTACAGCCAGTTGGGTTCTATAACACATTTTAACTATTAATTTAATTATACAGCCAATTGTGTTCTATAATGACAATTCAACAATGAATATGTTGTGTCAATTGCAGAGTTTGACAACAGATCCCTCACACATGAGTATTGAAGACGAACTTCTACCTCACAATGTTTCTCGTGTGTGGAGCAGATTTGAAGCTGCCATGCAAGAGAGGGACATGACCCTACAGGCTGAAGTCATCAGGTGGGTAAACAGCCCAATGTTATCAGCTCTTACCTTCACTGTTCACAGCCCCAATGTTATCAGCTCTTACCTTCACTGTTAACAGCCCCAATGTTATCAGCTCTTACCTTCACTGTTCACAGCCCCAATGTTATCAGCTCTTACCTTCACTGTTAACAGCCCAATGTTATCAGCTCTTACCTTCACTGTTCACAGCCCAAATGTTATCAGCTCTTACCTTCACTGTTAACAGCCCAAATGTTATCAGCTCTTACCTTCACTGTTCACAGCCCAAATGTTATCAGCTCTTACCTTCACTGTTAACAGCCCCAATGTTATCAGCTCTTACCTTCACTTTTAACAGCCCCAATGTTATCAGCTCTTACCTTCACTGTTAACAGCCCCAATGTTATCAGCTCTTACCTTCACTGTTAACAGCCCAAATGTTATCAGCTCTTACCTTCACTGTTAACAGCCCAATGTTATCAGCACTTACCTTCACTGTTCACAGCCCCAATGTTATCAGCTCTTACCTTCACTGTTAACAGTCCAAATGTTATCAGCTCTTACCTTCACTGTTCACAGCCCAAATGTTATCAGCTCTTACCTTCACTGTTAACAGCCCAAATGTTATCAGCTCTTACCTTCACTGTTAACAGCCCAAATGTTATCAGCTCTTACCTTCACTGTTCACAGCCCAAATGTTATCAGCTCTTACCTTCACTGTTCACAGCCCCAATGTTATCAGCTCTTACCTTCACTGTTAAAAGCCCAAATGTTATCAGCTCTTACCTTCACTGTTCACAGCCCAAATGTTATCAGCTCTTACCTTCACTGTTAACAGCCCAAATGTTATCAGCTCTTACCTTCACTGTTAACAGCCCAAATGTTATCAGCTCTTACCTTCACTGTTAACAGCCCAATTTTACACTAATTTTATCCTGATTCAATTTCAGACTTGAGCGCCTTCATCGACTTGCAGATAAGGCCCAAAGAGACGTCCGATTCAATGAAGATACCCTAACTGACCTAGCACGAAGAATAGATGACACAGCCCGTGGCCTTGACGTGATGCACTCGTTTGAGGCCAAACGCAACTGCGATGCCCTTGACCGGGGTCTCAAGGGCGTAGAGGAGGCCCTGAGAGGACTCTTTCGTGATTGCCAGACATTGCAAGATGGCAACCATCCTTATGCAGAACAGCTGTACAGAAGGTAAAGGAGGCTGCAAGTTTGATTCATCCCTACAATTATTTTCTCATGTTGTACACATGGCATGACTCACGGCCACCTGGGGGCCTCACTTTAATGACGGACATCACCATCTGTCATGATTAACCTGGGCACCTTATTTAATTTTTGTCTCTCTAGCTATGTTGGTGTTGTCTCAGAAGTATTAACTCTTTCGCTGCGGAGATTTTTTAATAGAAAAAATGTACATTATTTTTGGAAGAGCAAAAAAAAAGTGAGAGATTGGGTTATTAAATAAAATATTTAAAGCATCATTTTTTGGTTTATAAGACTAAACTTGGTATCAAATGAAAGTTATTTGAATGGACTATATGTTTGTACACTTATTTCTTCAGTTTAAATAAAATAAGTTACAGAAAAGAACCATAAAATGTGAAATCATTATATGCTAAACCATTTTTTCCCCTAATTCTATGATGTACGCATACCTCATCTTTACTTCTATAACTCAAATCCTCTAAAACTACTAGTTCCAGAATCATCCGATGGAGCTAAATATAAATCATCTTCACTATCAAAAGAAAAGTATACAAAAATTCCAAAGATTTTTGAGCTGTTAATCGTCTAGGAAACTTACTCACCTACTAGGGCCTAGGGTAGCCATAGCATCAGTAGAAAAAAATTGCGAAGAAAATCAAAATAATGCTTCAAATGACAACAAATAAACCTTGATTTTGCTTATAAACAAAGAAGTACCACTCTTCTATATAAAAGTCTTATTTAAAATTAGCTTTTAAAAAGTTTCACCGAGAAATAGCAAAGAAACAAACAATGACATTGAAACAACGCAGAGCGTGTTGGTCCGTGCTTTTGACAACGGCAGATGAACGCAGTGAGCGTTGTTCCACATCGAAAGGGTTAATTTTATCAAACCTAACAGAGTTTCTCTGCTTTTGTGTTCTGAACCTGTTGGTAATGAGCACTTGAAAATAACATATAGGTTGATGACTGACGTAAGTTGAGTAATGATCGGTGGGGCCCCATCTAGTTTATAATGAAATTGATGGTTGATGCTATGGAATGCTGAATATATTAACACTTGATTGTTGCACTTTGTAGAGTGTCTGAGCTCCAGGCAAGAGTTTCCAGTCTAAAGAATCATTTGTACAGCCAAGTGATGCACCCCTTGCTTGGGAAAACCAGTGAGGAAGGCCGCACGCCTCTGACCAAGACCAGAGCCCAAGTCGTGTCTGAGGGCAGGCTCATGGAGACCAACCCTGCCTTCCGTCATGTCCAAGATTGTCTGGACTGGGTCGATGCCCGGCAGGTGAGCTACTGGGGCACTTAACAAACAATGTCTCAGAATTTTAGACCTAATCCTGGCATCAGATAGCCAACTGAGTGATGTCAGATTTTATACAAAAAAATGAACATGTTAAACAATACTCCAAAATGCCTTCTATTAATTATTTTATTATTTTGGCTATTTCTTCGCACTGTTTTTATAGAAGTGATGAGATTGGTTTCTCTCTAATTGTGCCAAAGCAGAACCACTAATGCACCTTAGGAAGCACTGTATGTCCTTCTTTTCAATGAGGAGGAGTGCTTCAGAGCATCAGTTTTCTTCTCTTAGAGAACTTAATGAACTGCTTGTCTGCTGGGTTATGTTGAATGATTTGTCACCATTGACTTCCCAAACAGAGGCACCTAGAAGAGGCACAGTACGACAGTGATATGACCAGGGTGCAAGAGCTTCTTGCTGTACATAGGAGAGAACATGATGAGGTGCAAGCATTCCGATCTCAGATTGACAAATGTATTAATGACAGAGTAAGTGTTATCGTACCTTATGTATTAATGACAGAGTAAGTGTGATCGTACCTGATGTATTAATGACAAAGTAAGTGTTGTTTTACCTTGACAGATTGACAAGTGTATTGACAAAGTAAATGGCAGAAACATGTTTGTTGTTGATAGAGTGAATGACAAGCACAGATTTAATTACTGTTTGCAACTTCAAAGCATATATTTTTACATTCAGTTAATGCTGACTTCTAATTTTAATTGAATAAAGTTACTTTTTTAAAAATATAATATAGTTGCTAATTAAATAGGCAAGCCTTGTGCCTAAAGTTACTATTATATTATTGCACTTTAAATGTATATCAAATAGGAAAGCCTTGTGCCTAAAGTTACTATTATATTACTGCTCTTTTAATGTATATCAAATAGGCAAGCCTTGTGCCTAAAGTTTATCTTATACTGATGCACTATAATTGTATATCAAATAGGCAAGCCTTTCGACTGAAGAACAAAAACTGTATACACAAAAACTTTCCAAAGTAGAAGTGGCCTATTCCCTTCTTTCGGTAAGTCCAGGTGTTTCAAGAATTCATCAGAGTCCTATTTATGTGATAAGTCATTGGTTAACATGTCGCTCACATGTGTGATACTTGTTATTTCTTCATTTGTCCTGTCTGTTGAGGAAGTCCCTTGGCCGAAATTGTCATCTTTTTTTTTTTTGTCCTGTCTTTCTATTTCATGGTTCCATCTACCTTGTTTTACTATTTCCTTCACATAGCTTGAACGCAGTCCCTCATTTATTATGTATGATACTAGGAAAATCACACTAATTTTTAGCTTTGCAAAATAATTAATTAAAACTTTCCTGTGAGATGTTACGGCTGAGTGATCATATTGCTTTTAATCCATCCCGTCCAGAAAACATCCAGTCGGCGTTTACGCTGTTTAGAGTCACTCAGTGAATTCCTACAAGCAGCAACAGCCGAGCTGTTGTGGCTGAGTGAACATGAGAACACAGAGCTGTCTCGGGACTGGGGCTCTAAAGATATTAACCTTGCAGAACTTGATGAGCACCATAAGGTAAATATTGACTAGATATCTCTGTGTAGGGCTGGTTTTATTCTACTATTATAGTATAAGTCATTTAGGATTCTCTTCGCAACTGATTCATTATAATAGTATGTATCACTGAGGACTAGCTTCACAATTGATTCATTATAATAGTATGTATCACTGAGGACTAGCTTCACAATTGATTCATTATAATAGTATGTATCACTGAGGACTAGCTTCACAATTGATTCATTATTATAGTATGTATCACTGAGAACTAGCTTCACAATTGATTCATTATTATAGTATGTATCACTGAGGACTAGCTTCACAACTGATTCATTATTATAGTATGTATCACTGAGGACTAGCTTCACAATTGATTCATTATAATAGTATGTATCACTGAGGACTAGCTTCACAATTGATTCATTATAATAGTATGTATCACTGAGGACTAGCTTCACAATTGATTCATTATAATAGTATGTATCACTGAGGACTAGCTTCACAATTGATTCATTATAATAGTATGTATCACTGAGGACTAGCTTCACAATTGATTCATTATAATAGTATGTATCACTGAGGACTAGCTTCACAATTGATTCATTATAATAGTATGTATCACTGAGGACTAGCTTCACAATTGATTCATTATAATAGTATGTATCACTGAGGACTAGCTTCACAACTGATTCATTATAATAGTATGTATCACTGAGGACTAGCTTCACAACTGATCTGAAAGTAAATTTATTATTTTTGTTTATCAGACACTTCATTTTGATTAATTATTTTAAAATATTTTAATGAGCTTTTTATCGATAAATTACATAGTGTTTTGAATGGTGATTTATTATTTTTTGACTGATTCCTTTGGCATGTAACATTTTTCCATGTTAAACTTCATCAAATATTAAATTATAAAAATTTTGATTATAATTTCATTTTTTTTTATTTCAGTCACTTGTACGTAAAATGGAATCAAGAGAAAGACAATTCAATGCTGTCCAAGAGAAAGGTGGAGCTATGATCCTTGACAGACACCCATGTGCACGTACAGTTGAGGTACGCTAACAATTATCTGAACTCGTTTACGTGGCCCACTGTTCATTATGATGGGTTGCTTATGTTTGATTAGAAGTATAGAAATATCACCGTCAACCAACTACCTGGTTCTAACAGTCTGGGTGGATTGAGTACTACATGGTATACAGGAGTGAATGTTTTTAATCTCCTATACCAGTGGTCGGCAAACTCATTAGTCAAAAGAGCCAAAAATCACCAGCAGGACGATTATAATTTTCTTGACAGCCAAATTTCTTTTCAAGAACCTGTCAAGAACCATGATTTTTTTTGGAGCCGAAACCGACTTGTGGCCGACCGGCTGAGCTGCCCTCAGGTCGTTAAAGAGCCACATGCGGCTCTCGATTGCCGGCCACTGTCCTAGACCTTTGACTTGTCTATACAACATATTAATTTTGGTTAAGGCATTCGTGTTTAGTTTCAGTTATCCATGATTAGCTCTTCTTTTATTTGGCATGTCACTGTATAAACAGTACTGTAAACACTTCACAATTGTGACTCCCCAGAATTAAAATCTATACTGTAAATACTTCACATTTTTGACTGACCAGAATTAAAATCAATACTGTAAATACTTCACAATTGTGACTCACCAGAATTAAAATCAATACACTAAATACTTCACAGTTGTGACTGACCAGAATTAAAATAATGTCATAACAAAGTTTACCATTGTTGACATCCACCTAATACCCGTCGTGTGCTCCCCAGGCCTACATGTCCACTCTCCAGTCCCAGTGGTCATGGCTGATCCACCTCAGCTGGTGCCTGGAGGCCCAGGTGAAGCACTGTGTAGAGCACAACACGTTCTTTGAGGAGGCCCAGCACTGTGAGCAGTGGATGGCCAGACACGCTGAGCTCCTCCAGAACAGATTTTCATCAGACAACATTCCTGTGGATCAAGCCCAGGTCTTGCTTGCTGATTTGCAGGTAATAATCCGGTGCACAACACTGACTCTTATCTTTTTTCATTGACTGTCAGATTTGGTTTCAATTTCAAAATTT